CACACACACACACACACACACACACACACACACACACATACACACACAAACACACATCCGCAGCCCTCCCCCCCGCCGTGTCACCCGCACCTGTGCCTGGAATATCTTGACGGCGTCGTACCTCAGCTTGGCCTGCTGCTCCGCGTGCTTCACCCTCACACCCCTCACGTACTGCGACAGCTCAGGGTCCGCTGCCACCATTTCTGCAAACTGGGCGTCCCTGGTGTCGTGGTTAGTTGCGGATGGGCGGGTTTGTTGCATCGGCAAGGCGCGAGGGTCTGCGGGAGGCTCGAGGAGGGATACGTGGCGTGAGGCTTGTGCCGTGGACGTGCGGCGTGCATCCGAGAGCGGCCATGCCGGTGTCACCCCCAAAGCTGTCCCCACTCCACACGCAAGCACGCGCGTACGCAAACACGCACACACCCACAACCACACACACACACACACACACACAATACGACAAACACACACACGCATGCTCACACTCACTCTCATACAAACAATGCCTGCAAACAAACGAATTGCGAGACGCCAAAAACCAAGCAAGAAATACCCCCCCCGCCACAAACACACACACACACACACCTGCACTTGGTGCGGATGGCATCGATGCGCGCCCAGCGGCCCAGCGCGTCCACCTCCTCGGCGCTCATGTTGAACTTGGTGCGCAGCAGCTCGCCCGCGCGCGCGTGGGGCAGCTTGCGCAGGTCCGCATCGGTGCCTGTGGGGTAAGGGATTGGGCACACAATTTGGGGTATGTTTGGGCTCTGTGTTGAGTAGGCGCCCAGGGCCGTGCGAGGGCAGGTAGGCGCCAGCGGCGCTAGGTGCCGACAAGGCATTGGCATCATGTTCTTCTGCATGTGCACCCTCCTCGCCCTCGACCCCGCCTATTGCCCTAGGATCACTTCAGGTCCGCTCGAGCGCGCAACGCGGCTGGCAGGCCGGCCGGCCCAGCCGGCGAGGCAGCTCCCCTGGCCCGCCGCACGCACCCGTGATGGTCCCGTCCTCGCGCCGCGCCAGCCCCTCTGCAGGCTTGGCCTCCTCCCTGGCCAGCCGCCGCGCGTCTTCACGCACAAAGCTGAAGCCCCTGTGGCCAAAGTCGAGAGGGTGTGCGCGCGCGGCGCGTGCATGAGAGGGGTGGTGTGCAGGGACAAGGGGGAGGCAGACAGCGATGGGTGAGGAGGGGCGGATGCGCAGCGGGCGCAGGGTGACGAATTGCCTGGTGGACGTGTTTGGTGGGGGTCCGAGCGGCGGCTTTGGGGCAACACAGTGCGGTACCAAAACGCAGTCAGGGCGCAGTAGTGTGTCCCAGCTAAACCTCCGCCCGCCAGCCAAACCACGATATGGATGGATGGACTCGCAGCCACACACGCTCCGACAAGCGCCGGTAAACGCAGCCGACCACTGCACTATCAGCCAGGAGGACCAGCCCTGCCCCCTTGCCCTGCTTGCTGGAACGCCTGTCAGGTGCCGCACCTGCCGCGTCCAGTGGGATCCCCAATGCCGGTGAGGGCCAGCAGCATGCCGGGGCGGCCCTCGCGCAGCACGTGCTGGTAAGCCTCAGACAGGTGCCAGGGGGCGGCCTGGGGGTGTGTATTTGTGTGTGTGTGTAAGTGTGTGTGTGTGTATGCGCGCGCGTGCGTGCGTGGGTGAGCGCACACATGCGTGCGCGTGTACGCATGCATGCATGAACGTGCGCACGCGCCTGTGCATGCGCATGTGCATGTTTTGCAATCTGAGTCGGCAGCCGCGCAACGGGGCAGCCGCGAATCAACTCTTCTAACTGCTGTCGCCAACCTGCACGCGGCATGCAATCTGCGGCAGGCCTTGCGCACCAAAACGCCATGCACGCGACCACCTCAGGGTGGGCCCCCACGTGCACCTCCATCGCTGTGCTGACGGTGACATGCCCATGTCCCCGCAAACCATGCCCTCAGCCCCCTGCCCCCCAACCCACCACCAGGGCCATCTCAACGATTGCGGCCGCCTGCCGCCCCTCAGAGTGCAGCGGCAGCTGCTCCAGGGCCACCCCCAGCCGCTCCGGCGCCTCTGCGAGGCGCGGCCCCGGCAAGGCGGTCGTTGAAGACGGGACGCCGCCGGTGAACGGCGAGGGAGGATGAAGATAAGGCACAAGGTCGCTCGGCGCCAGTCGCCAGGGCCTGACCCAGCCACTTTTTTAGCAAAGCGTGCTGCCCTGCCATGGACCCCCAGAAAGCGCCTGTCCCTCCGGCGCAACCTCTGCATCCACGCCTAACTTTTTTACCCGAGGCGCCGCGAAAGAGCCTGCGCTCCCCTTGAACGGCCCCCGGCCCTCTGCCCCCACCACGTAGCGAAGCTCACTCTCGCGAATGGCCTCCATCTCCGCCAGCGCCCCCACGTTGAGGCCCATGCTGTTGCGGAATCCAATGCCGGCCAGGAGCGCCTCGTAGCGCGCGCACAGCTCAGGGGTCACCTGTCATGGGTGATTGGGGTGGAAGGTTGGAGCATGGAGGGGATCATCAGTGAAATGGGAACTGGCAGGTGTGTGTGTGTGTATGTGTGTGTGTGTGTGTGTGTGTGTGTACAGCAGGGGCGAGGTATGGTGATATGTAGAGAAGGGGTGGGAGGTAGGGGTGGTATAGATTTGTAAGTGTTGGGGTCTTTCAAGGCGAGGGTGTCGCCGAGGAGGTGTGCCTGATTACTCCGGGGTGGGGGGAAGGTATGGAGCCAAAGCATTTGCATTAGCAGGGGTGCCGGCCAGCGCCGTGACATGACACCACACAGAGCAGCCAGCCCGCCAGCAGGAAGTGCGGGGAGGCGGGTGGGTGTGTGCGAGCAGGAATGAGGCGGGGATGAGGGCGCTGGGTGGCGAGTGCGCGCACGCGTGCGCTCACCAGCTTGCGCAGCTCTGCCTCTGACAGCTGCTTGGCGTCAGGCCGCAGCGCGTACAGCCCCTCCGCCGGGGCGCCCACAGGCACGCACTCGCAGCTGCGGGTCGGCGGCGGCGGGCGTGGGGTGGCGGAGGGCGTCAATCCGTTGCCAACAACCCCCTCCTCCAGCCAGAATATGTGAGGCAGTTGTCAAAAACCAAACCTCACCACCCTCCAAAGCGCACTGCGCACAGGCAAGCCTACAATTGCCCCACTGATTGCTGCAATTTAGATTTGTCCAAGTGCCCTCCAGAGCCCCGGAGCAGGACAAAGGCAGCCCAGCAAGAGACTGCTGCCTCACTCCTCGGTGAGCAGCTTCTGAATGGCTCCCTCCTTGCTGAGGCCGGTCCTGGAGAACTTGCTGATCAGCTCAGCCAGGCTCACGGTGGCCTGCGGGGGCACGCCTGGACGCCATGGGCGTCAAGAGGCGCGCCAACGCAGCAGGGGGGGAGCTGGCGTGAGCACGGGGCTGACAGCCCACTGGCAGTGCACGAGGCAGAGTCAACAGCGCCGGCCACGGGGCTTGGGCAAGGGCCATGCCCCCGGGCGATTAGGGATGTGGGCGCGTGGGACGGCGGTGCTCAGTCCTTTGGGGGCAGCCGAAGGCCCCAGCGCGGACGCCAGGGCTGGCTGCCTGTGCCACGCGGGCCTCACCGGACGCGTCTGCCCGCTTCTCCAGCCGCTGCTGCGCGTTGATGAGCGACCGACGCACGTACGCCTGGGCGGGGCGGCGGCGGGGGCGAAGGCGATGGCAAGTGCGTGTGCGCGCGTGGTGAGGCAGGCTGAAGGCTGCAAATCCAAATGCCCGTGGCTTAAGCACACCATTTTCAGATGCCCTCGGCCACAACAACCGAATTCATTAATCGACCAGAAGGGAGATTTGCGGGCAGCGCGTTCAAGGCTCCTTGCTGTGCTGGTGTCGGCTGCAGTGCATCGCCCCAAGACTGCCCGGCGCGCACCTGCAGCCGGCTCTCTTCGAAGCGCACCGCATCCTGCGACCCCGGCGCCCACACCGGCGCCGCGGGGTGCTGCTGCCCCACCAGGACGGTGCCCGTGATCTCGCGCAGCTGCAGCGCCGCGCTGCCGGCGGTGCGGATCAGGAGGAAGTCGGTCGCGGCCGTGGTGTGCGCCGAGGCTGGCGCCCTGGGGGCCGCGCGGGCGCGGCGCCGTCGAGTGCGGCGCGATTGTCGTGAGAAAGGGGCCATGGTGTTGAGGAGACAATGTCGTGCAACAATTCGCTTTCCGCATGCATGCATGTATTAACACACAGTTGCGTTCCCGCATGCACACGTGCGTCCACATGCGTGCACTCTCGTATACGCATGTGCCACGAGCATGCGCATGCACACATTCATGGGCTCGCTGGCACGCATGCGCCCTCTGTGTGCACACGAACGCATGCATGCACACTCGCATGCACACACACACACGCACATGCACACACGCAACCACTTGCGCGTGCACATGTGCTGCCGTGCACGACGACAGCTGAGGGCCGCACTGCTGCCGTCAAAGCTACGAGCACGGTCAACAACCCCCACTGTTCCATGAACGCGCCAGCCCCACCCACAATGTCAGCAAGGGCGCGCGTCATCACCACATGAGACGCTCGCAGCGCGAAGCCCCCGCACCTGTAACATCCGGCGTCGACTGCAAACTGGGTGGTGCCAGGGGCGATCTGTCCCAGGTCCAGGAAGGGTGAGGGGCTGTCCGGCTCAAGGGTGTGCGCCGTGCCTATCATCCATGGGGGGCGGGGGGCGCCCGGCGGGATGGGCTCTGCACTGGTGGGCGGCAGGGCCTGGCGGGAGGGGTTTGAGAGCGGGGGTGTGAGGTTGTGAGGCAAGAGGGGCTGCGGAGGGACAGTTGTTTTGCAGGACAGACAGCCGATTGGGACGGGCGCACCGCCACCAGGGTCAACGAAGGGTGAGGTGGTCGTGATGAGGCAGAAAGTTTGTGTTTTGAGGTTGTCTGGCCCCAATGGGAAGGCGCGGGCCGCCACTGCGCTGGCGGGCGCCTGCCTGTGACGGGGTCCCAGCTCG